ACGCACGCACACACGCACGCAGTGTCTTACCTGTGCGTATCCACAAACGTGGGTCAATCTTTATGGCGGACATAACTCGCCTGATTTCACTGGAGATTATCTCGTTATTTATTGGAAAGGTGGCCACGATGTCCGCGGCTGCCCGAAAAACCTTCTCTTCATCGTCTCCTTCTTTCACCTCCTCCTCATCGTTCTCCCCTCGGCTCACTTATTTATATCAAATGTGTACGTCCAGCGACAGGTAGGAGCCGATCGTCGATGATTCACGGTGATACGGAGCTGCACGTAAAGCCGTGCGTGGCGGCTTTCACGCTCTCTGGCGCGGAGAAATCTTTCTTCCGTGTGTGTGGAAGCCCGCCTCGGCTCGTTGTAATTATTATTTTATCTCTGTCTCTCTCGCTGAGCGCCGAGGCGTCATCGCGCGTTAAACGTCAGGCTCGAGCCCGTTGATCTCGCGATCACGGGATACGATCACACCTTGCGAGATCGCTCGGGACGCGGCGAGAAATTGGAAGCACGTATGAAAAAAATGTTAAAGTCGAGTGGCGTGCGCCTTCACGTGGGAGCAGCGGGAGCTCTTAATATACGCCTGTGATATGCCCGGGTGATGGGATTTAAAATTTGATCTTTGTTGCACCGTCGAGTTGTGATCAGCTGAAACTCTGGTCGAAATTCGATATCATTTAGGAGGCAAAGTTACTTACGTATAATCGAGTGACCAAGGTTGCTCGAGTTATAAATCGTTCACCACTACAATCACTGCAACAGAGCACTGCGTTTAACAGAGTTACCACCGAGCTTGGTTCGAGCAAATTGCTATGACAATTAAATAGTACCGTTAATTAGTGGCAATGCAGCGATCGTGCAACGTGGAGAAGATGTGGCGAGGTAAAAACGCGCGGCAGGATCGTCGCCGTCGATCGATCGTGTTCGGCATCACCGAAGAAGAGCGAGTGCGCGAGGATGTACGCAACGACAGTCGGTCGCTCGTACTCGGGTAAACGTCGGGCGTTAATTCTCATAACAGAAACTTCCTAAACGCGAAGTTACGAATACAGTTCTACGGGTCGTGCAACGGTAGCAGCGGCGGCGGCGGCGGCGGCTGCTGAGCGGCGAAGGAGGCGTCGGCGGGGGTAGTTTTAGCGCGTTATACATGCCTAAGGCGTCGTGGGTATCTTCGGGGATGGGCGCGGGAACGGAAAGATGGACGAGAGGGACGAGCGGCGGAGGTCGAGTGGAGAGAAAGAAAGAGAGAGAGAAAGAATGCAGGCTGCACAACTTGATAATAATAAACTGAAAAAGGAGCAAAGGGCGTTATTTTAAAAGGGAAATGCAGCGCCGCATTTTTATGTCTTCGCCAGAACTTTTCATCTCCCGTACCCGCGCTAAAAGGTATCGCGGGTGCGCGGGAGGAGGGGGAAGGCGCGCCGAGAGGGGAAAGGGAGGAAGGGGCGACGCGGCAACGGCCAGCCGGCTCGTGCAAGACAAGATGAAGAGGAGGATGAAGGAGAGACAAGGCGGAGGCGAGGGGCCGTCAGGGGAGGCTAAAACGCGGAATGAAACGGCAGACTGCCGCTGATGAAATTCATAATTTAGATCCAATGCGCTCTCTGTACCTCGTTTAGAATACACTGCTATTTATAGTCGAAATTTTCCTTCGGTACGATCCGCCCCGCCCGTCTATCCCCTGAAAAGAGCGCGAGGAGGCCATCCCCCGCTCACCCCTGCACCACTACCATCACCACCAGCCACCCTTCTGCCTTTCCCTCGGATTCCTTCGGACGGATGAGGATGCGCGCCACGTGGGCTGAAAATCGCGGCGCGAAGAGCCGACGTTTGCGATTGATACGCGACTGCTGGTGAATTATACACGAATGCCCCGGGAATGATGAACTTTTATCGTGTGCTAAAAATCTCCACCCTCGCCTGTCTTCTCCATCCCTAATAAAGATAGGCAGATCGACAGACAGACAGAAAGTTTTCTCGATTTATGTATTCTGACCATTATATTAACACTCAAGTAGACGCACGGACGTGATTTCCAAATATAATTCATTTTTATGTATAAGTAGCTACATAAAGCATTATATTTTAACCCCTTAAATGATGTGTCTGGAAAAGATTCCAGTGACAATATATGAAATTCCTCTTGATGTCCTAAAACTGTTATATTTCTTCACATTACAGAAAATATAAATAAAAATTAGATAACTTGGTACCTTCTCTTTCAACATTCTCTTCAAAGAAAAGAGCAATAAAGGAAAGGAAATCCAGATACGCTTATTGAAGGCTTAATTTTGAATCACAACTAAAGAGGTTGAACATGAAACAATAATTTTTAAGCGTCGCAAGTTAAAAATCTGTGCTGAAATGGATTTGTCTACACGATTTGGAGAAACATTCGTTTATTTATTGAGACGTGTTCGCGGTGTGTGTGTGTGTGTGTGTGCGCGTGTGCCTCTTCGAGGCGTCCTTGGTCCGCGGGGGTGGAAGTGGGGCAGGCCTAGTGAGCGCGATCGGCAGGGCGCGATAGCGAGGGGAGTCGAGAGCCGAAGTAATTGAACGTTGGCGGGGTGCGCGCGAGTACTACTCGAGCAGCCGACGCGGAGGCGAGGCGGCGGTGGTGCTCGGTGGTGCTCGGCGGGCGCATAATGCAGGCATCCGAACCGTAATGCACGCTAAACAGGCGGATAGCGGGGCCGTACGTTAGCCGCGGAACGTCATATTATTCCACGTGTGACGGCTGGGTGGCACGCATCTTGAGGCACTGCCCCTTCCGTTTATCGTCCGCTGTCGCGTTTCGCCCGGCAGTTACTTCGTCCCTAATAGGATGTAATATTATACGGAGAGTCACGTCCACTCGAATCCGCGGGCTTTAACGGTGACTGGGCACGAAACGGCCTATACGTCCGACGCCGGCTATCCGACGACGCGCCGACCCCGCCGTCGTACCATCACATTTGCAATCAGCGAGAGGAACAGAGACAGAGACAGACAGAGAGAGAGGGAGAGGGAGAAAGAGCGCTCTCGGAGCCCTTCGAGTAGTGACGCGAGGCGCGCAAAAGATCTCTTTCTGTCTCTCTCCTTCTCTCTTTTGCGTCCAGTCCGTCGATACCGTGACTGAAAGGAGTCAGGATGAAAATTACGAATGGCAGCGGCGCAGAGACCGGTAGATCCGCGGCTCGCGATGCTCGCGCGTCGGATGATTGCGGAGCTGCTGCTCCTCGTCGAGAATGAGATGGCAGGTGTCGCGCGCCGATGGCCGCTTCTCCGATGTCTTTTGTCCGCCGCCGACGGTTGATTCGGAGACGGGGAGTTCGTTCCAGGAGATATTTCAAAGTCACTTGGGTGGATTCTGCGTCTCGTTAATTGCGCCAATGGTCGGATAAACTTTGGATGTTTGCGCGTTCAACGCAGAAGTGAGACGTGCGTTCGTTGCCGACGAGAGACGAGTGCTCTTTCGCCGCAACACTTCGCTCCGCTTTGCGACTGTCGCGACTCAGCGCGCCGCGATCGACGAAACGTTGATTCACGTTAGACGATCAATTCGGTGCGAGCGTTCGACGGGCTGCATACGTTCTCCCGTCGTGAAAAATCGTAACGGCCGCGGTCACGTCCGCGGCGTGCACGCCCACGCCGCACTCGCGTGCCGGCGCGTTAATTGGTTGCGTCGGAGTATCGTATGGAATCCCGAAGCAATCGATACGCGGCCCTATCCACCTACGGGGCGATTACCGGACCGGCGGGCTGCACGACCCCTTCCCCACCCCCGGGAGGGGGGGAGGCATTGTAAATTGACCGTAATTGCGTTCAATGTTACGCGCGCACACGGACGGATCAAAGTCAATTGCTCCAAGTGACGGTGTGCCGCAAGAAACGCAGCCAATTGGCTTGGCGCGCGCGCGCTCGGTCATCTCCGGTCGGACATGCAGCGGGACAAGGAACTAGTCGACGACGATGAGGAATCGGCGCGCCAGCGCTGCCGATCTCATCCTTCCCCGCGCAATCTGTCATATTCGGTATTTTCGGCTTCTCGCCGCGGAACTCCCGACTGATAACGTCAGAGGCAAGAAAATACACGATAATAATTTTTGCAAAATACGTAGATATATATATATATATATATATATATATATATATATATATATATCCGACTGAATATCTCTATTCTTCCAAAACTCCTTTTTATTCTTCTTGAATCTCCTATCAAATCCTATCAAAACTCCCAGCGAAAATTATAATAAACAAATTAACAATAAACAAATAAAAAAGGAAAGTTTGTTTTTATCTAGCAATTATTTCATAATTCATTTATCAGAAAAATGATGGATATATACAGGGTGTCTCACACTCTCCTCCGGGCATTTTGTGGCGACGTAGAACAGGTTGAGGTGAACATAAAAGTCCTATACCGTTTTGCGATATTCGCAATAATTATCGAAATATTAATTGTAGAAAATGATTATGTAGAATATGGTAAATGAGTTATAACAGCGACGACTGCCGTCGTGTACTTATACTTTAGGTCAAATTGAACAAAAAAGTCCTCTACCATTTTCCAAATAATCACATAGATTTTTAATTATAAATTAAAGAAGATTATTGCACGATTTTGCGTGATAATGCACTCATCTTCTTTAATTAATAATTAAAAATCTATGCGATTATTCGCAAAATGGTAGAGGACTTTTTTGTTCAATTTGACCTAAAGTGTAAGTATACGTCGGCAGTCGTCGCTACTATAACTCATTTACCATATTCTACATGATCATTCACAAATTTTCTACAATTAATAACTCGATAATTATTGCGAATATCGTAAAACGGTATAGGACTTTTATATTCACCACAACCTGTTCTACGTTCCCACAAAATGCCCGGAGGTGAGTGTGAGACACCCTGTATATATATATATACACATACATACATACATATATATATATATATGTGTGTGTGTGTGTGTGTGTGTGTGTGTGTGTATGTGTTTTTAATAATAAAGAACAATCAAGATCTGCGATTGACTTTTACTTTCGTAATGAGTGAATCAGTGAAATATTATTAAAAGCAATGAATATACACTGATTTGCAATTATAAGTATAGCACTAAAACTGTCCAGTGCTATATTTATAACTGATATCAGTGACTATAAAATAACGCTTGCAATTGCTCAGCAACTTTCCTTTTGCTTTAACGACCAGTAAATTGCCGCAAAATCACATTACCCGCAATCTATTTTTTTAACTTACATTTCTGTATGACTGCTAATTTTACACTCATTTATTGATTTCTGGGACAAAAAGCGAGTGTTCGGACTATTTTGTAAATCTGCGCGAGCGGTTGCAAGTGTCACTTTATGAACATATCTTTTTATCTTTATGTGTTTTACAAAAATTTTTAGCATGCGTTTGTCGTTTCTAACCTGATAAATCAACGTGGCCGCAGCGAGGAGTCTCAAGCTACCCGCGGTTTCGAAAAGAAAAATATTTTAAGGATTTAGTACAAGAATTTGTTAGAGATGCTACATATGTTTTTAATAATAAAGAACAAGATCTGAGAAATCAAAGAATCAAGATCTACGATTGGTTCTCACTCTCTTAAAGTGAATTAGTGGAACATTATTGAAAGCAATGAATATACACTGATTTACAGTTATAAGTATAGCATTGAAACTGTCCAGTGCTATACCTATACTTTTAACCGATATCAGTGGCTATTCACTGATTCACTTTAAGAGAGCACAATCCCTCTCTTTGTTTATTAAAAATATTTTAATTTTACCGTTTATTGTTGTGATTTCTTCAACTCTCTTTTTTTATGTAATACTTGGGTCTACAGTGATAGCAGTTATCGCGAGAATATCTAGCAAGATATCTACTTCCGACAAATTGCCCGTTCAATTATTATTGCAGTTGTGTAATAACTCGTAATGGGGACTCTCTATTGAAAGTCAATATTCCCGCGTAATTAACACGCGGAGTGTCAGGAGAGAAAGACTTGAACTTTCGCCTCTTGTGAAACTGAAAGAGCACCAGGCAGCTTAATTGATCGATCATCGACCAAGTAAATCGATCGGCTGCAATCGCAAACGTTGATTAACCGACTTCATGCGACGGATCGTATCACTGACTTCCTTAGTAACTAGACACAGTATGAATATCAATTGATGATACATATCATCGACAATCGAGTATTTTTAATAATCCTGAGTCAAGATTTTGGGCCCACATTGGTTTTGCAAGTTTTCCTTCAAACTTGAAAAACCAATAAAACATTTCCAGGTGTGAAATGCAGGCTACATCGTTATCTAATACTATGAATGATTATTTATTACCTTTCTCTCCGTTAAAACTAAAAAAATACGCTTAATAATTATTTGATATTCGGTTATCTCGATGTTCTATTTGTATTTGATTTTTCCTCAATTGTCCCAAGTATAATAAATGACAATAAATTCAAAAGTTCTGAAATTAAAAATCAAGAAATGATGTAGGGCCAACAAGAGCCAATATGTGTGAAAAAAAATTATTTTCACTAGAGGAGAAAAATCAGTAAGAACAATAAATTGTTTTTGTCTTTAAGACAAAATATATTAATACTTATGTTTGGCTCTTATTGGCCCTACATCATTTTTCTGATAAATGAATTATGAAATAATTGTTAGATAAAAGCAAACTTTCCTTTTTCATAATTTGTTTATTATAATTTTCGTTGGAAGTTTTGGTAGGATTTAGAGATTCAAGAGGAATGAAAAGGAGTTTTGGAAGAATAGAGATATTCAGTCGGATGTGTACCAATTGAGAATTAAATTTCGATTCGGCACAATGACAAGAACTGTGTAAACAGAAGTGAGAAGAAGTCGTTGGAAAGTTCCAGAAGGAACTTGCGGAATGTTTTGAAAGATTGTTGTGACCCCCCTTGGCCGCCGCGATTATGTATACGTCATGGTTTGGCGGACGGCGACGGTTGGCGATCGGGGGGAGCGACTTTGCTCTTCTTGTCGATTGTTTTGGTACTCTTGTACGACGCGTGCCTTTTTGCGACCGGCTCATTACGTGTCGAGGCGACGAACGACGCACATCTTTCGACGAGTGAGTTAGAGCTCTCGTCGTCTCTTAAAGTATTTTATTAATCGCGGTCTCTTTGGCACATCGCGTTCAATGACACGTTTCTCTGATCGAATCGCATCTACGCGAGTGTGTCACTGACAGTGACAAGTGCGAGTGCCATGATGGACTATCTAGAGCAGTCGGGAACAGGATGCTGGACCGGGAAACCAGGACGAAGGACACGAGACGCCAAAACGCGAACAACGATATATTTATCAGGTGTGCCAAAAATTATCTATAAAACAAAATGATTCGAACGGACGTTTTTCAAATTCACGAGAACAAGGAGGTACCCGAGTCGAGATTTGGGCTTCGTAGTTATTTGACAAATAATTATAGAAGTTTTTCATGAATTTCTGATTATTCGTGAAGTAGCTTAAGTTATCCAACATTATCCGGGTTTCTTATATTTAGAAAGAATCTAAGTTCAAATTATTACAAGTATCAAAGGGATGAAATTAGGTGGAATGTCCAAGATCCTTTAGGGAATAATTGAGCTAAAATTTTGCCTAGATCGATCAAAGGGTTTAAGAGTTAATAAGAAACACATGGACATATTTTATTATATATACAGGGTGTCCCGAAACTACCGGATGTTATTTTAATGGCAGATTGTTTAGAACATTTTAAAACGAAAACTTTCACACAAAAATGTTGAGACTATAATAGTTTTCAAACGGGAAGCGATTATATTTCACCAACAGGGCTGAGATTTCGCGCACTCAGGCACGTCGAAATGACAAGTGATAAAGGTGCTCCTATGAATGTCACTTTTTTTACGATATTATAATCATATTGTATAAGTTTACAATAACATTGTCATAATATGTTTTGCCGCTTCTCTACGCATTGCATTAGTATATTTTTTATACGAATAATAGTTGTAAGACATCTTAAATATGATTCAAGTAAAAGTGACATATTTCAACTTAATCTGTCAAAGTGTCGATCAATTATTATCATGAAGGTGTCCGCTATTCTATATGGCGTGTGGCACCTTCACTTGTCATTTCAGCGTGCCTGAACGCGCGAAATCTCAACCCTGTTATTGGTGAAATATAATCGCTTCCCATTTGAAAACTATTAAAGTTTCGACATTTTTGTTTGAAAGTTTTTGCTTTAAAATGTTCTAAAGAATCTGCCATTAAAATAACATCCGGTAATTTCGGGATACCCTGTATATATATATATATATATATATATATATATATATATATATATATATATAGAGAGAGAGAGAGATTTGTAACTGTATTTCTATTACGTTCTACTATTTCATAACAAGAAATATTAATCCAAACAAATATAATAACAGTGCGTTTTAGTACGAGTCTATAATTAATTATGTTTCTTAATCAAAGACGCGTAAAATAATTCGCAAGTATAAATATCGGCCTTGGAAGTAAAGTTCGCAAATGACAATCTGTGCATCCAATAGTGGCCAATGAGGCGCGAGTTTCACTTTAAATTTACTATCGCTTTCTTTTCTTCTGTTTGTTATTATTATTATATCGAATCCGAGTTTAGATCTTTTACGCAGCAAGCATTATTGAACATACAATGCTTCTTTGTCCTAAGAACTTTTCCTCTTCTTCAATCTCCAAACTATCTAAATTCCCAACGTTAACAAGAAAAAAGAACAATAAGAGAATTATAAAGAAAAAAAAGATTTATTATTTAATCTATCAACTGATCTCATTAATTTCATTGCTTATAGAAATTGAGATAATCGAATATTCAATAATTCTGTGAATATCTATTTGTTGAAAATACTTGGAGTCTAGTAGGTTTCCTTAATATGCAAGAGATGTGGCAATAAATAATCAATACACGAGCTGCATAATGTTATATTCCCATTGATCGTTCAAGTTTGACAGAATTTGCGGAGTTACTGCACGGAAAAAAAAGATTTGCTAATATATGGACAACTAAAATTATTAACTGCAGGAGCAAATTTTCTTGCTTTCATAGCATGCTTTCATTTGCTCCTGCAGTTAATATTTTTAGTTGTCCATATATTAGCAAATCTTTTTTTCCGTATGTGAATGAAAATTTCGACTCGGATTTACGCGCACAAAAGAAATCTCGAGTTTGCACAAATCTCTGATTTGTTTGAATAAACGGTGCAGTCTTACTGCAATGCGATCTCTGTGAATGCTCGAAAAAGATATCTATAATAAACGAAACGCTCGAGGTCTCGCTCGGCGATGGTGCCGCGGCCATCGACTCGAAACGATAACCATCTCTCGTTGCGGAAGTGATAGAGGGCGGCCCTTAGCACGAGTCAGTTGCGAATGCGCCGCATTCGAAAGATAATCCGTGAAACAAGTCGCGCCGACGAGCACAGCCGAGACAAGTGCGCACAATAAGCGTCGAGTGGCGATTGCTTGACGTTCCGTGGCTGGTCTAGAGAGAAAAAGAGAGAGTGAGTGTGAGAGAGAGAGGTGAGGGGAGAGAAGCGGGAATCCCAGATCGAGCGAGTCTCCCGAGGGTGAGACGATGCGTCGATCAAACGGCCTATCGGCTCCGCATTGAGAGGCAACTTTTTCCCCTTCCCACCGGCTTGCCGATCATTAGGAAGCCGAGTGTCAAAGTGTCGGGCTTGTCACGATTCGCGCGTCCATTCGCTCGTCCGATATCGTCGTGCGGCATTTACGCGGTTTGTAAAAGGTGAAACGCGAGATTCGCGGCGCGTCGATTCGCCGCCGGAAGATGAGAAGCTGGTCGATGATAGCGCGTTGTCGCGCGCGGCTACAGTCACGGCGAGCGAGGACACGGGAACAGATTTTCGCGAGCGGGGACGTGGCCCAAGACCGCGGAAGACATCGGATCGGCTAATTACCCGTGAACATTAGCGTGTGCTGCGCGATGGTCGCGAAAGCCGAAGCTTATCCAGACGGCGTACTTGGCTGACTCTCTCTCTCTCTCTCTCTCTCTCTCTCTCTCTCTCTCTCTCTGACGAGCGGGAATTAAACTCGATTGTTAATCGATCGCGTCGACCCGTGCGTATCGCGTTTTTGCGAGAGGTGAGCGCGATACTTTTGACAGTTTGAAATTGGTATCCACCTGCGCGGGTGCGCTCGCGCGCGAAGCCTATTGGCTGTTTACTGGCGAGAAACGGGACGTAACACGGGCCGCGAGTGTCCGCAGGAATCAAAAAACTGACGTGAACAGTGGAAGGCGATTTTCATTGTCATTGGCAGTGCGCGCGAAGGATTTGAAAGGTCAAAAGTGACCACATATTGTTTCCCGGCGTGATCATTTGGAAAAAAAGGGATCCAATGAAGCGCCCTGTCACTGTTTAACGCGTAAATCGTGGCCCGATTGCTCGATGCGGGTCCAATAAAAAACGAGGAAAAAAGTTTTATTTTAGTAAACACAAAAACGGTGAAAACAACAGTAACATCGCTTTCACCCAATGGATATGATGAAAAATCCATTTACCGGCGTGGACCGTCTGACAGATCGCGCACCCCGACGACTTGCACGTCACGCGGAGTAAATTGCTTCGAGAGAGAAAGAGAGAGAGAGGAGATGTCTTGGTTTATGGAGGAATTAAATTGCGTCGGGAGATGACCGCGGGTACACCCGGCACGTCGCACTCGAGGAATCAACGCGCCATCCACCTCTGTTAAACCGTTTCCGGATAACGAGGCCGCAACCGATACTTCCGCGCACCGGTCGATCGGTTTCCGCTCTCACGAGAACATTGCGCCGCGTCTAACGGTGCGGTTGGAGCGCGGCTGAATTCTTACGGGGAACTGAACGAGGGGAATCAGAGAGAAAGAGAGAGAGAGAGAGAAAGAGAGAGAGAGAGAGAGAGAGAGAGAGAGAGAGAGAGAGAGAGAGAGAGAGAGAGAGAGA